ACATCCGTTTAAGGCAAAACGGATGTCGACATCCGTTTCGCCTTAAACGGATGTTGACATCGTTGAAGGATGTCATATGTGGCTTTTGCAGGTGGCAGAAGAACACATCAGTGGGGGAGGGTATGGAAACATGATGAGAAAATTTGGTCTTTTGTGGATCATGTTTTGGATGTTGTGATTGTGGATGCTGAAGGGAGAGTCTTGGACAGGAAGAAAATGGGGGAGGATCTTTTCTGGGGGATTAGACGAGGTGGGGGTGCTAGCTTTGGGGTCATTGTGTCGTGGAAAATCAAGCTGGTTCCCGTCCCTGAGGTTGTCACAGTTTTTAGAGTTAAAAAAAAACATTGCGAAAAGCGGGCTACTGATGTGTTCATCGATGGCAGTATGTTGCCGGTAAAATACATGATGGATTGTTTATAAGAGTGGTTCTTAGTGCTGTCAAAAGGAAGGGTCAGAAGACAATCAGAGCCAAGTTCAATGCCTTATTTCTTGGAAATGCTCAAGATTTGGTTCGCGTGATGAGTGATAGCTTCCCTGAATTGGGTTTGGTTGGTGAAGACTGCATTGAAATGAGTTGGATCGATTCGGTGTTGTTTTGGGACAACTTTCCAGTGGGAACTCGGTTGATGTTCTCCTTCAAAGGCATGATACACCTGAGAAATTCTTGAAGAAGAAATCAGATTATGTGCAGAGAACTTAAAAAACAATAATTTAAAAATAAAATTTTACTGAGGGGCAAAATAGTAAAGGAAAGGTGGAAGAAGGGGCAAAAAAGATAAAGGGGAGGTGGAGGAAAGAGATGTGTGGGAGGTGGAGGGAGCAACTCCCTTTGATTTTGACCTTAAGTTTTAACCTTAATAGGTAGTAGGTGAGAGATCCTAACCTTTTAATATTATATAATATATCTGACGGTTGAGGATACGTGGTTCACCAAAGACCATCTCCTTCCTCCAGATGTTGTCTTATTAAGATTGACTTACATTTAATATCAGATAAAAAAATTTAAATTATACCAATAATATAGTTATCTAAAACTAGGAAATAAAAATAAAAATTATTTAATTAAAAAATATATGAAATGATACGAGGTAAGAACATGTTATCATTGATGAAAACAAGTTCAATAATAATAGTAAAATTGAATTTTAATTTATTTTAATATTTTTTTTTATAAATTTACAAGTCAGAGAAACTGCAGCAAGCTATAATTTTTACACAAACTAAAATAAATAAGAAAAATGTAATCTTATTTGGAGAAGTACTTAAATAAAATTATTAAGAAAAACACTCATGTTGGAGATTGTAGGACAATCATGAAGTGGTCCAAACAAAAGCTACATAATTTAGGTCTGAACGTGGAATTTGATTTGAATAACGTTGTTTCTACTGTACTAGATTTTTACCTCTCTTAATAATATTATTCAATATTTTTCTATTTTTGTATTTTTTATTATAAAAAGAGGTTATAATAAGTAGGCACCGCAGAAATAATATAAATAAAGAATAAAGAAGGAAGGAGTCACATGTGGCACAGCGTTAAAGAGGATCAAGTTTCTCGTTTAAAATGTCTGTATCTTTTGTCTGTTTCTCTCGCTTTCTCCTTTTCTGACAACCTTTGTGGACTTCTCTTTCTCATTCTCTCTCTTCATCAAATCAACAACACCATCATAATTCAGAGCACAATCATCGTCACAGACAGACAAAGAAGACAGAAGAGAAAGAGAAAGAGATGGTGAACGTGGTGGAATTGCAGAAACAGCTGCAGAGGTGGCAGCAGAGTGGCAACAATGTCAATGTCGACGCCAACGGAGAGCTCATGTATGTCAAAGTCATGACTGATGAACAGTTGGAAACTCTGAGGAAACAGATTGCTGTTTATGCCACCATTTGTGACCAACTTATTGAGATGCACAGAACACTCTCAGCTCAGCAGGATCTTGCAGGTTCATCTTCTTTTTTTCTTTCTTACTTTCTGTTATAATTATGAACTATACCAGATTTTCTTCTAACATAACCAAATTCTCATGGTATCTTGTTTCTTATTGGCTGTTTTGACTGATAACCTTTTCATCTTCTCTTTACCATTTTTCTCAGTTTGTTTTTTCATCTGAATCGTGTTTCATGGGATTCCAGTTATCAACGTACCATTACTGCTACTGTTGTTTTTATTGTTAATATTATTTTTCTGGTATTTCCACTTTGTACTATTTAAGCCAGCCTGTTTCAACAAACTAGAAAATGACAGGAAAAAACATCAGCCACACCTTTTCCCCCCATACACAGGGCACATTGGATTTCAAATTTGTAATCATAAGCAAGAACCATACCTTTCGTGCTTTAATTGGTATTTCTATAAATGTTTGAACAGTATGTTATGATTAAGAACAGTATGTTATGTTTAATACTACTGATTCATTTTCTTGCATTTTCAGTTCATTCCAGTAATATTATCTTATCCTGTCACACTTAAAGTGACAGATATTTGCAATAGAGGAGTTTTCTGAATATCAAATATAAAACCTGGTTGATTATTGATCCAGCGTTATCTGCAGAAAATTGATGTTTTGATCTGTTTTCTTCATCAGGGGCTAGATTGGGAAACCTGTACTGTGATCCATTGTTGACATCTGGTGGACACAAAATAACATCAAGACAAAGGTGGACACCTACACCTGTGCAGCTTCAGATTCTTGAACGTATATTTGATCAGGGAAATGGAACTCCAAGCAAGGAAAAAATCAAAGAGATAACTGCTGAGCTGGGCCAGCATGGTCAAATTTCTGAAACAAATGTGTACAACTGGTTTCAGAATAGGCGTGCTCGATCCAAAAGAAAACTGCAAAATGTGGCTCCTAGCAACACTGAATCAGAAGTGGACACTGAGGTTGATTCTAAGGATAAGAAGACAAAACCTGAGGAGTTTCTGTCTCAACATAACATAACAACTTCTGGAGGATCCGAAAAGCTGTGCTTTCAGAACCCTCAGGTGTACTCTGATTTGCAGTACTTGAACACTGATTCCAACAAGCCGTATTCCATGTTCCCATCAGATGGCAGTTTGAAATCCACAAGAAATTTGACTCATGTCTCTCTTTTTAATCAGGTGCTGTCAAATTCAAGTATGTACCATCTTGGGCTTTTTTGATTCTTCATCAGCAATCTTTACTGAACCAATCAATGAAAATAAAATGAATCAACATTTTTTAACTAAAAATTTGAAAAGGGGTTATATATTTCTACTGTAGCAGATCATCCTCAAGGTTGCTCCTGTTATTTTCTGTGTTTCTTTTGCAGGGAGTGAGTATGCAGGTGGAAAAATGGAAGTTGGTGGAACAGTGAGCTACAATTTGTTCCACCAAACAGGAGATTGCAATCTGGGGTCTGATTTTTAGTGTGATCTGCAAAGAATTGTGAGTGTGTTGTTTGGGGTTTTGTTCATGAGTTCATCACAAACTGGAACTCAGTGTAGTAATATTTACTAATCTTTGTAACATTATTACTGAAAACCTGTCCACAGAATAGCATAAAAATTTTACTACTTCATATTGTTTAGTTGGCTTCTTGGTAGCTACTTCACCCTTTTCTACTGTCACATCTTCTACCTTGTTGTATAATGCATAATCATTGTCATGATTGTATACCATTAAGTTCTTTTAATTTACTACTTGTTCTTTCACTTTATTTTTCTCTAAATTCTTCTGAAAATGCTTCAATTACTTTGTAGGTGTGGATTAAATTAATGGACAAAGTTCTTATAATGTTTGTCTTATTTTCTGTGGTTCAAAATGAAAAACTGATCTCTTGATCACTCTAACCAACAAAATTGATGGTAACTTTAGTTTTAAACAATGTTTGCTTTTGGTGAAAAGATTAAAAAAATTCAAAATAAATTCCTAAAACAAATAACACTGCATGATGATTTGTGGTAGTAAATTATTATTTAACTTAATCGTAAGGTTGTAATGATTGGTTAAATCGATCATCGTTTTTTTTATAAAAAAGTTTATTGCACTTTATCTTCTTCCTAATTTTAATTTTCTTAAAAAAAATATATATTTGAGGTAGGATTTTAGTAAATTTTTATGTTAAATGTTTCATTTCTAATTATATACATTTATATATCTTGCATAGTAAACAAACAAAAAAAGTATCAATCATGTAAAAGAGAGGTGCTACCCTTTTGTGATAATTGATGATTAAGTAAATTAACAAATTTATTTTGCACGATTTAATGATGATATAAAAGAAATCTTTATACAGCATATACTGTTTTATATATATATATAAAGTTATTTTTTCAGTTGGTTACATTTTTTAGCATAGTGTACCGAGATTGGTAGACAAAAGTTTCCTCGTATATTATGGATTATAAGTTGTAAGGTCAAGGATATTTCAATAATTTTCACTCACAAAACTAAAAAAAAAATCCCAAAATTCCTACTGAGCTATCTCTCCTCTCTCTCATTCTTCTCAACCATTTCTGTTTAATTTCTCTCACTTCAATATTCTATATATCATCCCTACAATCCGAACTAAAAAAATCAGAAACATTCACCTAACCCTAATCCACATTTCTTACTTATCCAATCCAAATTGTTTCTCTCTCATCTCCATCATCTCTCTCATCTCCATCGTCTCTCTCATCCACACACAACAACCCGCGACACCGCAAATTGTTGTTATTGCTTTTGTTCATTTGTTTTTCACTTTNATAAACAGTTGTATCTAAATAGAACTGAGCCAAACATTAAAAATGTTGGGATGAGCATTGGTAATTGCAAGCAATATATGTTTTACTAACCAATGATCTCAGATCAATAAGTCCTTAAATGCCAATTTGCCCAAGAGGTAGCAATTATATTGAAATTCCTCAATTTTATACTTCCTAAAATCATATTTTAAATTATTTTAGAAAATTCATTCCGAAGATTTTATTACATGGTGTTTCAGATTAAATATTTTTAATTGTTTTTTCACATAATAAAAAATACATAGATTTTGAAAGATTATTTTCTTCTTTCCTCTGAGAGGTGAACCAGAAAACATTTCCATTATAGAAGATGCTTGTTTCTGCAATCTTACCTTTTCTCTCAATCTTTCTTCTAATGGCGGCCTCAGATCCTGTTGAAGACGCCATTCTGCAGTGTCTCTCTCTTCATTCGGACCCTTCCTATCCAATCTCCTCTGTCACCTATTTCCCTAACACCACCTCGTACATTCCCATCTTGCAATCCTACATCAGAAACCTCAGATTCACTTCTCCCACTACTCCTAAACCATTGTTCATCGTTGCCCCAACTCACATCTCCCACGTCCAAGCCTCCATCATCTGCTGCAAAAGTTTCCAACTTCAGATCAGAATAAGAAGTGGGGGCCATGACTATGATGGTCTTTCCTACGTGTCAAGGTCCCCGTTTGCGATCATGGACATGTTCATGATGAGATCAGTGGAGGTCAATTTGGAGGATGAGACTGTGTGGGTTGACTCCGGGTCAACGATTGGTGAACTTTATCATGCGATTGCTGAGAGGAGTAAGGTGTATGGTTTCCCGGCTGGGGTGTGTCACAGTGTTGGTGTTGGAGGACACTTCAGTGGGGGAGGGTATGGGAACATGATGAGAAAATTTGGTCTTTCTGTGGATCATGTTTTGGATGCTGTGATTGTGGATGCTGAAGGGAGAGTCTTGGACAGGAAGAAAATGGGGGAGGATCTTTTCTGGGGGATTAGAGGAGGTGGGGGTGCTAGCTTTGGGGTCATTGTGTCGTGGAAAATCAAGCTGGTTCCCGTCCCTGAGGTTGTCACAGTTTTTAGAGTTCAAAAAACATTGGAACAAGGGGCTACTGATGTTGTTCATCGATGGCAGTATGTTGCCGGTAAAATACATGATGGATTGTTTATAAGAGTGGTTCTTAGTGCTGTCAAAAGGAAGGGTCAGAAGACAATCAGAGCCAAGTTCAATGCCTTATTTCTTGGAAATGCTCAAGATTTGGTTCGCGTGATGAGTGATAGCTTCCCTGAATTGGGTTTGGTTGGTGAAGACTGCATTGAAATGAGTTGGATCGATTCGGTGTTGTTTTGGGACAACTTTCCAGTGGGAACTTCGGTTGATGTTCTCCTTCAAAGGCATGATACACCTGAGAAATTCTTGAAGAAGAAATCAGATTATGTGCAGAGAACTTAAAAAACAATAATTTTAAAAATAAAATTTTACTGAGGGGCAAAATAGTAAAGGAAAGGTGGAAGAAGGGGCAAAAAAGTAAAGGGGAGGTGGAGGAAGAGATGTGTGGGGGTGGAGGGAGCAACTCCCTTTGGATTTTGACCTTAAGTTTTAACCTTAATAGGTAGTAGGTGAGAGATCCTAACCTTTTAATATTATATAATATATCTGACGGTTGAGGATACGTGGTTCACCAAAGACCATCTCCTTCCTCCAGATGTTGTCTTATTAAGATTGACTTACATTTAATATCAGATAAAAAAATTTAAATTATACCAATAATATAGTTATCTAAAACTAGGAAATAAAAATAAAAATTATTTAATTAAAAAATATATGAAATGATACGAGGTAAGAACATGTTATCATTGATGAAAACAAGTTCAATAATAATAGTAAAATTGAATTTTAATTTATTTTAATATTTTTTTTTATAAATTTACAAGTCAGAGAAACTGCAGCAAGCTATAATTTTTACACAAACTAAAATAAATAAGAAAAATGTAATCTTATTTGGAGAAGTACTTAAATAAAATTATTAAGAAAAACACTCATGTTGGAGATTGTAGGACAATCATGAAGTGGTCCAAACAAAAGCTACATAATTTAGGTCTGAACGTGGAATTTGATTTGAATAACGTTGTTTCTACTGTACTAGATTTTTACCTCTCTTAATAATATTATTCAATATTTTTCTATTTTTGTATTTTTTATTATAAAAAGAGGTTATAATAAGTAGGCACCGCAGAAATAATATAAATAAAGAATAAAGAAGGAAGGAGTCACATGTGGCACAGCGTTAAAGAGGATCAAGTTTCTCGTTTAAAATGTCTGTATCTTTTGTCTGTTTCTCTCGCTTTCTCCTTTTCTGACAACCTTTGTGGACTTCTCTTTCTCATTCTCTCTCTTCATCAAATCAACAACACCATCATAATTCAGAGCACAATCATCGTCACAGACAGACAAAGAAGACAGAAGAGAAAGAGAAAGAGATGGTGAACGTGGTGGAATTGCAGAAACAGCTGCAGAGGTGGCAGCAGAGTGGCAACAATGTCAATGTCGACGCCAACGGAGAGCTCATGTATGTCAAAGTCATGACTGATGAACAGTTGGAAACTCTGAGGAAACAGATTGCTGTTTATGCCACCATTTGTGACCAACTTATTGAGATGCACAGAACACTCTCAGCTCAGCAGGATCTTGCAGGTTCATCTTCTTTTTTTCTTTCTTACTTTCTGTTATAATTATGAACTATACCAGATTTTCTTCTAACATAACCAAATTCTCATGGTATCTTGTTTCTTATTGGCTGTTTTGACTGATAACCTTTTCATCTTCTCTTTACCATTTTTCTCAGTTTGTTTTTTCATCTGAATCGTGTTTCATGGGATTCCAGTTATCAACGTACCATTACTGCTACTGTTGTTTTTATTGTTAATATTATTTTTCTGGTATTTCCACTTTGTACTATTTAAGCCAGCCTGTTTCAACAAACTAGAAAATGACAGGAAAAAACATCAGCCACACCTTTTCCCCCCATACACAGGGCACATTGGATTTCAAATTTGTAATCATAAGCAAGAACCATACCTTTCGTGCTTTAATTGGTATTTCTATAAATGTTTGAACAGTATGTTATGATTAAGAACAGTATGTTATGTTTAATACTACTGATTCATTTTCTTGCATTTTCAGTTCATTCCAGTAATATTATCTTATCCTGTCACACTTAAAGTGACAGATATTTGCAATAGAGGAGTTTTCTGAATATCAAATATAAAACCTGGTTGATTATTGATCCAGCGTTATCTGCAGAAAATTGATGTTTTGATCTGTTTTCTTCATCAGGGGCTAGATTGGGAAACCTGTACTGTGATCCATTGTTGACATCTGGTGGACACAAAATAACATCAAGACAAAGGTGGACACCTACACCTGTGCAGCTTCAGATTCTTGAACGTATATTTGATCAGGGAAATGGAACTCCAAGCAAGGAAAAAATCAAAGAGATAACTGCTGAGCTGGGCCAGCATGGTCAAATTTCTGAAACAAATGTGTACAACTGGTTTCAGAATAGGCGTGCTCGATCCAAAAGAAAACTGCAAAATGTGGCTCCTAGCAACACTGAATCAGAAGTGGACACTGAGGTTGATTCTAAGGATAAGAAGACAAAACCTGAGGAGTTTCTGTCTCAACATAACATAACAACTTCTGGAGGATCCGAAAAGCTGTGCTTTCAGAACCCTCAGGTGTACTCTGATTTGCAGTACTTGAACACTGATTCCAACAAGCCGTATTCCATGTTCCCATCAGATGGCAGTTTGAAATCCACAAGAAATTTGACTCATGTCTCTCTTTTTAATCAGGTGCTGTCAAATTCAAGTATGTACCATCTTGGGCTTTTTTGATTCTTCATCAGCAATCTTTACTGAACCAATCAATGAAAATAAAATGAATCAACATTTTTTAACTAAAAATTTGAAAAGGGGTTATATATTTCTACTGTAGCAGATCATCCTCAAGGTTGCTCCTGTTATTTTCTGTGTTTCTTTTGCAGGGAGTGAGTATGCAGGTGGAAAAATGGAAGTTGGTGGAACAGTGAGCTACAATTTGTTCCACCAAACAGGAGATTGCAATCTGGGGTCTGATTTTTAGTGTGATCTGCAAAGAATTGTGAGTGTGTTGTTTGGGGTTTTGTTCATGAGTTCATCACAAACTGGAACTCAGTGTAGTAATATTTACTAATCTTTGTAACATTATTACTGAAAACCTGTCCACAGAATAGCATAAAAATTTTACTACTTCATATTGTTTAGTTGGCTTCTTGGTAGCTACTTCACCCTTTTCTACTGTCACATCTTCTACCTTGTTGTATAATGCATAATCATTGTCATGATTGTATACCATTAAGTTCTTTTAATTTACTACTTGTTCTTTCACTTTATTTTTCTCTAAATTCTTCTGAAAATGCTTCAATTACTTTGTAGGTGTGGATTAAATTAATGGACAAAGTTCTTATAATGTTTGTCTTATTTTCTGTGGTTCAAAATGAAAAACTGATCTCTTGATCACTCTAACCAACAAAATTGATGGTAACTTTAGTTTTAAACAATGTTTGCTTTTGGTGAAAAGATTAAAAAAATTCAAAATAAATTCCTAAAACAAATAACACTGCATGATGATTTGTGGTAGTAAATTATTATTTAACTTAATCGTAAGGTTGTAATGATTGGTTAAATCGATCATCGTTTTTTTTATAAAAAAGTTTATTGCACTTTATCTTCTTCCTAATTTTAATTTTCTTAAAAAAAATATATATTTGAGGTAGGATTTTAGTAAATTTTTATGTTAAATGTTTCATTTCTAATTATATACATTTATATATCTTGCATAGTAAACAAACAAAAAAAGTATCAATCATGTAAAAGAGAGGTTGCTACCCTTTTGTGATAATTGATGATTAAAGTAAATTTAACAAATTTATTTTGCACGATTTAATGATGATATAAAAGAAATCTTTATAAGCATATACTGTTTTATATATATATATAAAGTTATTTTTTCAGTTGGTACATTTTTTAGCATAGTGTACCGAGATTTGGTAGACAAAAGTTTCCTCGTATATTATGGATTATAAGTTGTAAGGTCAAGGATATTTCAATAATTTTCACTCACAAAACTAAAAAAAAAATCCCAAAATTCCTACTGAGCTATCTCTCCTCTCTCTCATTCTTCTCAACCATTTCTGTTTAATTTCTCTCACTTCAATATTCTATATATCATCCCTACAATCCGAACTAAAAAAATCAGAAACATTCACCTAACCCTAATCCACATTTCTTACTTATCCAATCCAAATTGTTTCTCTCTCATCTCCATCATCTCTCTCATCTCCATCGTCTCTCTCATCCACACACAACAACCCGCGACACCGCAAATTGTTGTTATTGCTTTTGTTCATTTGTTTTTCACTTTAATAATAAAAGAATTGATAATGTTAATGTTGATTTTTGATTGGAGGATTGTATTTTTCTTAATTTCACTTTTGCGACAAATGATAAATCATAATGACAACATCATGTTTAGATGTGAATTGTTTAAAATAAACTTACATGATGTGATTTACTTTGTAAAGTAATTTTCTGGTTTAACTGAGAGCTAAAAGGCTCATTATGACTAGCTTATTGATTTCTGATCAATGCAGTTCATCTTGAAAACTACTAAATATTGTAATTTACTCAAATTTAAAAGATGTGTAATTTGGTAGAATATTTTTATTCTTTTTACAAAAATGAAATGAAAATATTCTTATTAAACATTCGAAAAGGAAAGTGCACTGGTCTATTTTCTGACTAAGGGGACAAAGTCAGCAAGAATAATTTTTTCTGTTCATAACTCTTTTCAATAATTTGTTCTTGTTAAATCATTCAGTACCATGTGCAAAAACTTCATTTTTTTTGTTGTGTTTTAACGTTGGTTATATGTAGGAATGTGAAAAGTATATTCCAAAATATTATTTTCAAAGGAAAATATGTTTATAGAATAAGAGCTGACTCCAGAAATCCATTTTCTGGACAATGACTTATCCCTTCTAGAATCCCCATTTCACACAAGGGTTTTTCTCTTTTGGAAAATATTTTCGGACAACTTAATAGTCAAAATATCAAATCTCAGATAAAATAATAATTCTAAAATTTAAAAACGAAATTTAATAACAAACAGAAGGAAAAAGATATAACACAACCTTCCAATTAAAAATCAACATCAACATTATTATTTTATAATTAAAGTGGAAAACAACAAATGAACGAGCATAGCAAAAACAACAAATTGCGCGCGAGTTAATGCGTGTGAGTGAGAAAGATGATGGAGATGAGAGAAAAACAAATTGAATAAGCGAGTAAGGTGGATTAGGGTTAGGTGAGTGTTTATGATTTTTTCAATTAGGGTTATTGTAAGAATGA